ATATATTTATGTCTGAGTTATGGCTTAAATGAAAACAACCTATTATCTGCTGCCATGCAAAAATCTCAATCTTCACACAAAAACATAAACTTTTATGTCTCTGGAAATACCACTATTGACGGTAGCTGCGTTTCCATTGACCATGAAAATGCGCAAATTAGAATTTCGAAAATAAATTTGCTCAATGGAAACACGTCAATTTCGAAAAAACTTCCTTTTTTTGACAAAATGTTTTTGCGCTAGGATGAGGTGGTATTTCAGCCGTATCGAAATTGGTGTGTTTTGCAAAACTACAATGGAAACACTTTTTTCRCATCATGGGAGTCATGTSATCAACAACCGGCTGTTTCTACTGGTGAAAAAGACGACGAAGAAGAAGGTAACAGGAAGTAGAAGTAGTAGTGAAATCAACAAAGTAGTAAAAGAAAGTAGTAAACTCACCGACTACAATTTCCCAAAAACACAGCATACGTAGCCGCTCCCAAGTAGAGACTTGTCTCTGGAAAGCCTCGATAAAAGACGCCGACGTCTCCTCTGATGATGAGCGCTAGTGTCGTGGTAGCAACATGCTATGTGTTTACATCCATCGCCTCCATGTTTGTAATGACTTATCGCGAGAACAAACATATTCACGCGTGACTTTATTAGCATTTCTTATTTAATGGAAACACTGCTGTTGCGAAACTGTGTTTTTTCAACATTAACAGAATATCGACAAAGTTTTGTGCACATTTGCAATGGAAACACAGCTAGTGTTAGGTTTTACTGATAAATTCTGTCCTCCTCTCACTCTTCAGTCCAGGAAGACGTCGTACCCTCTGAAATCTCCAGGTATCCGACCCGTGCGGACGTCTACCTCTGGTACTCTGAAGGGCCACCCCGTCCCCCTGGAGAGGGAGCCCGCACATAAGATCACCTTCCGCAGTATTGCTGAGAACGACCTGGACCCGCTGGTGTCGGCCTCGGTCCCCACCTCTCCCAACACGCCCACCCCTCCACAGTCGGCCTCCTCGGACCTCAGCTCAGTGTTTGCAGAGCACGACCTCAGCAGTTCATACGGCGGTGAGTCAAGCTGCTGCTGGAGCACAGCAGGCAACACTTCAAACATTTCATCTTTACTAACAAAGTTTTTTATTCATCTACTTGTGTATAAAATCATTGTTTAATTTTTACAGGTAGTAACTCCGTGTTTGTCCAGGTTCAGCTGCCGACTTCCAGTGAGTTTTTCTTAWTGACTTTTTTACTTCAGCAGTAAATTATTCTGACTTTCTTTAACATTTCATGTGTTTATTCGTTTATCTCAGAGTTGCATTCAGCCTCGTGTGGCAGCCTTCACCAGCTTGTAGAGGAGCTGAAGCCGCCTCCTTTGCCTCCTCGAAGAAAAGACACCACCTTTGAAGCAAAAGTAAGAAAAGTATTTGAGATTATAAAGTCCAGTGTAAAGTTTCCACAGTCAGTGATGGTTTGGGGTGCCATGTCATCTGCTGGTGTTGGTCCATTGTGTTTTCTGAGGTCCAGGGTCAACGC